TTTTTGTAAGATTCGAATAAAACGTATTTCATCGATAGAGCGAGTGTTTTGTTAGTGTCTAACACTTCATCTTACTAATAAAAATTTAAGAGCAGAGCTTTTTCAGTCAAGTGTTGAACAAAAGTCCAAAGATCTATTGCATATAACAGTTGTGAGGCTGTTATAGCTTGTCCATTTCAAAAATTTGTTGTATGAAAGAAATATTACTAACAGAATAAAGCAAAAGTGAGAATTCAAAACTAACATTCGTTACTTATCAACTCAAATTTTTGTAAAAAAGAAAAGAATCGATTTGATTTTCAATTATTTTCAAGTAAATCAACACAACATAATCTAGTTTATGCTTGTCTTATAGGTAACTCATTTTCTTCTAAATTAACAAATTACACTTAGTGTACATATTGTGTAAATATAATTTATTGTAATTTGTATATTTTACCTCATCTGTATACATTTTTATTCATTTCGCTATAAATAACTTTCACAGGAAAATAGCCCTTTTTTTGTATTCTCTTCGATAATACAATTCTTAATTCTGATTCTTTTTTCGTATATGAGCACACACAACGTTTTCTTAACGAACAAAGTAAGAAAAAGACTGAATTGTCGAATAGCTCTAAATTAATTCTGAACTCGCTAATAAAAACTGGAATAGTTAGAGACGACACCTTTCCACTTCGTAAGAATCCAATTAATTTCAAATTTATGCATATAAATATAAGCAAAACGGAGGACAATAATTTATATAAGCAAAACGGAGAACAATAATTTGAAATTATTGTCCTCCGTTTTGCTTATATTTATTAACGATTCTGTCTGCAGCAGAACCAATCTGTCAAGTTGACAGGATATAGAGTAATTTCATAGTGTTCGCAGTGAACATTTCGATGAAAAGAAGAATTTTTTAACTTTTCACTTTCTTGCTTTCTACATCTTTTGAGATCTTTGCGCCGTGTAACGTAACTCATCACGTTGATTCCAAACATGTAAAAATCCCAAATACCGTTTCTTCAGAAAAAAATTATCAAATATTAATATGTTTTACAAATGGAATTTTTTTTTTGAAAACAAATTGAAAATTCTTTTTTTTTATAAAATTCAAATAAAAGTGTCAATTCATATAGATTCATTTTCTTCCAAGTTGATATTGATTTCTGATGAAAGAATTTTATTGAATAGGATAGACAATGAGATTTAAAAAAAATATTCAATAAAAATCAATGATGTTTATCATCGAAGACACAGATTGACAAAATCATTTTTGAGAAAAAAAAAAGAAAAGCAACAATCATTGTTCAATCTTGATCTTTTTCATCGGATATCTTTTTTTGTTAATATTTGATTCCTAATGAAAGAAAAAGATTTTTCTTTTGCTGTTGTTTAATGAAAATTTGCACGTGAATATGTCATTATTCATTGAAAAATCATTTCTTATTTTATTTATTGAACAAATGAAATAAATAATTGAAAAATTCAAAGATCAATATCGAAAATATTTCTTCATTCAAACAAATTTTCACTTTTTGTTTAACAAAAATATTCATTCACATCAAACATGTTAACCACTTTTTTTTATCATTAGAATTGACTTTCATTTTAAACGAAATTCTTTCAAATGAGACATAAATCCTTTTTTTTAAATTTCTTTTCTATAAAAAAAGAAATGAATTGCTAACAACTGAAATAATTGAATTGCTATGATCTAATCTCTTATTTTCTGCAAATTCTTCTTCAATAATCTCCGTTTCTATGAGAATTTAATTCGTTCAAATATCGAAAAGATTTTCTTATTGATCAAAGAATTGTCTCAACTTTCTTTTCCTAATAGATTGATCAATAGTTTCAAATTAGGAAATGGATCAAGTCAAAAGAGACAAATCAAATGAATCTATTTCTGAAATGATGTTTCTAGAAAATCGAATGGAAAATATTGAATAGAAATCAAATAGTTCTCTTGAATTTTCTTCATAGATTAGGAGAATATTAATTGACAATGTTCTTCATCATTCTGTTGATAATAGGATAAGGAAATCATGCTTAACTTGAATTTCGTTTTCTTCCTAGAATTTTATTTTATTTTATAAATTTATTTACAACTGGTAAACATTTCGAAGTCTAAAACGACTCCTTCTTGAGTAGTACAAATTATGTGAATAACAAGTAATTACACAAAAGAACACACTATATACGAGCTCATTAAAAATGTGCGCGAAGGATGTTCAACAGCTGCAAATAGTATTGTATAAAGGGACGATGTTTAGAAATTACACTTATTGAAATCGAGAACTTGGAGAGATATGACATACGTCTAAAAAGAAATGTGAGAAACAAATAATAAGTAAAGTAAAAGATGAGCAGCTAAAATATCATGTTGACTGACATTGTGGTGGATAGATGAAATACTTAGGGCAATCCAAAAGTAGTGAGGGAGGTACTTCATTTTCTTATAAACAGAAAGAATACAATTCAGCTTTAAATCGTGTTAGGTTTAGGGGTGGCACTTTCTCTTTCCTACCTCTTTTTTTGTTAACAAAAGAAAAATTTTTCTTTTTATTTACAACAAAAAAAGCGTAAAGATATAATGCATATCTTTTCTTTCCTAAGAGAAAGGAAAATGGTACCTTTTCTTTTCTAAAAGAAGGAAAGGCGATATCTTTTCTTTTTTCAAGAAAAAGACTTTTCTTTGTACCTTTTAAGAAAAGTCTTTTTCTGGCAAAGAAAAGATATTGCTTTTATACAAATAACCATATACAAGGGCTCGGTTAAATTCTCAATGTGAAACACATCCTAATCTATCGGCTTGGATAAATTATATTTATGTGCTGCAGTTGGTGAGAAAACACTTAATGAGAATTTCGGTAGCATTCACAGGAACAAATATTATGTTAAAAGTCGTCCATAATCTCAAACTAGACCTGTCACTCTATGGATTAATCAAAAAAGCTTTTTTTAAACATTTCGGTTAGAAAAAAACGTTTCCATTGGCGCTTAGCGCTTTCCCATACGGATAGTTTCAGTAAAATGAGCCTCCCCTTCATATCGCAACTCAAAACTCGTTCAGACTTTCACAGAATGGTCTTCTGCTTGTCCTTCAACTATGATGAATGCATAAACGTACATAAATGCACCTGGACCGTACAGCAGGTTTTTCAGAATACCCATGGTTTTCTAGGTATTTTCTATTTTTCTCGGCGCAGAAATGTTATTATTCAATAAAAATGACCTATTTAGAATCAACGTATCGAACTGCATCGAATGAGATGTCAGTTGTATGTTTTTATGTGCAAGAAATAATTTGATTTAATGAAATACCAGATTTGCTACGAAAACTATTTTTATAGGTTTTCGTATGCGCTCTTTCCAATGGTGGGATTTACAATGTTCAAAAACACCTTCCATGTGCCTAGTCAAATTTGACCACTGTGGCACAGTGTACCAGCACTTTAAAAGCGAAATAAACAATATTCTGGAAAAGTGATTTTGCCATTCGATAGAGCTCATCAAGTTCTATCTGGCACACGTATTTCCAAAGATGACACAGCTTTAATAAAAAATGTTAAACCAGAATACAAAGGTTTGAGAATAAATAAATCTGTATTTCTGCATAAATTCTCCCATCTGGGAGAATGTTAGAAAAGTATAGACGAGTACCATGTAAGAGCATACCACTTATTATAAAATGACCTTGTAAGATTGTATTAGAGAAAACAACCAGATTCGGCATGATTTTGAATGACCTTGAAATAAGATGTTGTAAGATAATGGATTATGATCTTATTAGAAGATTTCATAAGAAAACGACAGATCTTGTACGATCGTCCAAAATAAATTCCACCTGAGCAGATGGAAACAAGGAGATGAAAAAATAAAAACATATATAGTCTCTGATTCGCGTTCTCATGGCCGTCATATAGTTGTTAATGATCTTCCAAACGAATAGATAATTTGTATTAAAATAGCTATATCGTGTTTTTTAGTTTATTAAATTGATAATATAGCAAAAGGATTATAATCGAAGCCGTCAACAAACTCTAAAATTTTTTTACTATTGAACACGAATGATGAATAGATATAATTTTTCTCCGGATGTCTTTTCTTCGGTGTTTGACTGAGAAAAGAAAAAAATCGATCGTCCATTATATCCCTTGTTGCTTGATTGTGCTGGAAACAATTATAGCCAAGATGATTTATTTAAGACATTAACAATATGATATTCGTAAACTACAAATAAATGCTTATCAAAACATATTCTTTAAGGATTTAAGGTACGAGTGTCTGAGTGACTTCAACCTGAAATTTTATTAGTTTTGCTTGTCTTTTCAAAGTTTTGAGAAAAATATGAAACGAAAAGAATCGATCAATAACTACTTTATACCTCAGACACGATCAGTTTTGTTGTCAATTAGTCTGTTAATCTTAATGTAAATTTTTGAAAGTCTTTGGCTAAAATTCTAATTCCAACACGCAAGTACTCATTAATCTGATGATAAATCTTCTGGTTCTCTAATTTAGACATACAAGCGTTTACAAATGAGCTTGATTATGTTAAATCTGTTCAGCTGTTGTCGTTCAAAAGAAATTTTTGGCTTGAACGAAACGTATTCGTTTCGTATTGTTATTATCATGAATGGAATTCAATTTTTTTTATACAGGTAAATCATAACGATCATTTTTTGCAAAATTCTATCAACTTATTATTTTCTCTAATTTATTAAGTTCCGTATTTTACTACGGCTCTTTATTTGGCATTGAATAATCTTGAAGTTGATTCCACAGAGGACATCATTCCAATTGATAGTTACAGTTGTGTCAAGCAATTAAAACTGGCCATTTTACCTAACCGATCCGGTAATGAACTGCCAATAATTCCAAACAATTTTCCATTTCATGTCTACAAGAATCTTGATTATGTTACATTGCGCATTCGAACACCATTTTTTGTGTACACAATCGTTACTCGATTACATTAAAAAAATATTCGAATGTCAAACGGTTACATCGATATTTTTAAAGAACACTAAATGAACATTATACAGTTGATCCAAATATATTATTAACAATGTTAAGTTATGCGACAAATGTTTGCACATTAAAAATACAATATAAATGTCTGTATATTATAACTGATCAATTTCAACACTATGCATTGTGCTCAAAATTAAATGGAATGATTCAACATTTATATTTACACAATACTTGTTTACCGACAAATATCATTACCGATTTTGATCAATTTTGTTCAGTATTTTCAAACTGTCGATTACTAAGTGACGTAAAAGTCAAATCTATCCCTTACTGCTTGCTTGTGCTGGAAACAATTATAGCCAAGATGATTCATTTAAGATATATCAAAATTTATCTAGAATCAGATATAGAAATATTTGAAGTAGATATCTTACAGAGATTAGAAACAACCCTTTTGAATAGTAGACAATTTGAACGAAGTTCCCATCTGTTAATCTTTGGGCTGAATAAGATTGGCAAACTGAGTTCTAAAAAAAACAGTGTATCACACTTTTTCGGCTGGAAAACGCGCACCACAATTCTTTTAAATAAGATATTCGTGATCAGCGTAAAATTCTGCGTCGAACCATGTGTGTTTAAACGAAAAATAAAATACTACTTAAACTTCGAATTACGTGCGCCTTATAAAAATTCTTTTTTGTATTTTCAATGTTCCATGTCATGCGGCGATGCAGCTGCTGCAATCTTACATATAAAAACGGTGAGAAAGAGTCGGATGTTCTCTTTTCTTTCCGTTTTTCCTTGCTGTCTGTTGATGATCATAGTCTTTTTCTTTTCACTTGAATTGTTTCGTTCAAAACTATAGGAGTCTCAGGTGCTAACGATACATTTTTGGCTGCACAAGTTCGAACTAACTTTCCTTTCTTGTCTTTTTCTCGTTTTAGGAATTAATATTTAAGAATTATTTGGATACACTAGAAAATGATAATCAGAGAAAAATATTGATCGTTGGTTGCGATGAAGCATTAAACGAAGAAAATGAAAGACATCGTCGTCATGTATTGAATTCCCAAATCCTTGATTTGTTAGATTATAATCAACCAACCTACACATTCGATATGAAGAAAGAACTTTCAACTCATCCAAAATTTAAATTTAAACAAAATAATTTTGATATTATTTTCTTTGAATGCGTTCCAGTTGACGAGCTGGTATATGAAGTTTTAAAAAATGCCTCTCTATTGTTAAAACATAATTGCACATTGGTTTATATGGTTGGCTATAAAGCAAATAATATAAGTTAATTTTTCGACTCAAATTGGATTTGAAAAGCCTTTTCTTGTAAATGCAGATGAATATATATGGCTTTACAACCATTATAATAAATAACCTTTTTTACAATACAAAATTAAAAGAATAGAATATCTTAATAAGAGTTGCACATTGTTGCGAAATTCACGAAGGTGCTTATGCATCACAGCCATGAGAAGAATAGAAAATCTAGACGGAGCCAAGGAAGGTAGGAAGCTAGTACTACAAGAGATTATGAAGGTAAGACTCGAATAATACTTCCACATCAAATGTCTTCTTAGCGAAAGTACTGATTGTACAGGCCCAATTATCTAGGCAGCTATTGAAAATGTAATGTAAGACGAAGAACTTGTTGAAGTTGATGCAAAGTAAAGAGACATCATTTTCCAAGGCTTCTTAATTGAGATCACTTTTTATAATTAAAGAAATAAAACTGATCTCAGTTTGGAAATGGCATATTCTATCAATTTTCAAAAGTGATATCAGTTTTGAAAACGATTTT